CACTGTGGTCAGTACAGAACCTTACTAAACACTGGCATTCCACTGTGGTCTTTACAACCTTACTAACCTGGCATTCCACTGTGTGCAGTACAGAAACCTTACTAACACTGGCATTCCCACTGTGGTGAAATACAGAACCTACTAACCACTGGAATTCCACTGTGGTACATTACAGAACCTTACTAACACTGGCATTCCACTGTGGTACATTACAGTACCTTACTAACACTGGCATTCCACTGTGGTGCATTACAGTACCTTACTAACACTGGCATTCCACTGTGGTACATTACAGTCCTTTACTAACCCCTGCCTTCCCCTGTGGTGCAGTACAGAACCTTACCTAACACTGGCATTCCACTTTTGGGGGAAATATATACCTTACTAACACTGGCATTCCACTGTGGTACATTACAGTACCTTACTAACCAACTTGGCATCCAACCTTTCAGGCATTCCCTTTATACATTTCTTACACTGTTGGTGCAGTACAGTACCTTACTAAACCTGGCATTCCACTGTGGTCATTACAGAACCTTATAAACACTGCATTCCACTGTGGGGCTACAGTACCTTACAACACTGGCATTCCACTTTTCAGAAGACCTTACAAACACTGGCATTCCACTGTTGCATTACAGTACCTACTAACCGGGCCATTCCACTGTGGTGCTTTACAGACCTTACTAACACTGGCATTCCACTGTGGTGCAGTACAAACTTACTAAACACTGGCTTCCAAACTTGGACTTCCAGTTTTACAAACATCATCACTTGGTTTCCTTTTGGGTACACCCTTACTAACACTGGCTTTCCACTGGTTGAGTACAGACCTTACTAACACTGGCTTTTCACTGTGGGCATACAGTACCTTACAACACTGGCATTCCACTGTGGTGCAGTACAGAACCTTACTAACAACTGGCATTCCAAATTTGGGGGTACATTACAGACCTTACTAACACTGGCATTCCACTTGGTCATTACAGAACCTTACTAACACTGGCATTCCACTTGGTCAATTACAGTACCTTACTACACTGGCATTCCACTGTGGTCTTACAGACCTTACTACACTGGCATTCCACGTGCCTTACAATTTTTAACCACTGGCATTCACTTTTGGCATTCCAGTCTTCAAACACTCATTCCACTGTTGTCATAAGTCTACTAACCTCTCCACGGGTTCCAGTTACAGACCTTACAAAACACTGGCATTCCACTGTGGGTATTACAGACCTTACTAACACTGGCATTCCACTGGTGCAGTACAGAACCTTACTAACACTGGCATTCCCATTGTTACAATCATTCCATTTAATCTTTCCCAGGTGTAACACTATTCCTTTTAAACATCATTCCATTTAACGGCATTTTTTAAAACCGGGCCTTCCCACTGGTTGGGTCAGTACTTATTTAAAACCCATTCCATTTACATCCCAGAACCTTACTAACACTGGCATTCCACTGTGGTGCGTACAAAACCTTACTAACACTGGCATTCCACTTGTGGTCTTTAAAGGGTACCTTACTAACACTGGCATTCCACTGTGGTACATTACAGACCTTACTAACACTGGCATTCCACTGTGGTGCAGTACAGCCCCTTATAACACGGGCATTCCACTGTGGTGCATACAGACCTTACTAACACTGGCTTTCCCACTTTTGGGCATTACAGTACCTTACTAACATGGCATTCACTAGGGTTCAACACGGCTATCCACTGGGCATTCCCCTTTCAAAGACAGACCATTTGGCTGGGGGGCTTACTGGACATCATCCATTTGGGGGCATTCCCCCTTTCACACGACCTTACTAACACTCTTCCCACTGGGTCCTTTTGGAATTAACTAACCCGCATCACTGGTTCACTTCAGAACATTACTATAACACCTGCTTCCACTGTGGTTATACAGTCCCTTACAACACTGGCATTCCACTGTGGTGCATACGTACCTTACTAAAAACTGGCCCATTCCACTGTGGTGCAGTACAAAAAAACCTTTACTAACCTGGCATTCCACTTGGAAACATTTACAGAACCTTACTAACACTGGCATTCCACTGTGGCATACAGAACCTTACTAACACTGGCATTCCACTGGTGTAGATTACAACTGGATTTCCATTGGTATTACACCTTCTAACGCCATTCCACTGGGTTCAGTACAGAACCTTACTAACACTGGCATTCCACTGTTGGTGCATTACAGTACCCTTACTAACACGGCTTCCCCACTTTTGTGCAGAAAAACCCAAAACACTCTCCCGGGGGCATTCACCTTTCAACGGCTTTCAACTGGCATTCCAGTTTAACTAACACTCATTCCACTTGGTCAGTCAGAACCTTACTAACACTCCTTCCACTTGGTAAAAACGTTTAAAACAGCCTTCCACTTGGACTTTCGTCTACTAACCTCTTCCACTTGGCATTCCACTTACCTTAACTAACCCCTTGGCATTCCACTGGGGTGCAGTACAGTCCTTACTAACACTGGCATTCCACGTGCCCTTACTAACTTTACGGGCTAACACCTTTCCCACTTGGTCATTCAGAACCTTACAACACTCCATTCATCCACTGTGGTCAATAAGAAACCTTACTAACACTGGCATTCCCTGGTCATCTTTATACATCGCTTCTCACTGGGTTCCAGTACAGAACCTTACTAAAAATGGCATTCCACTGTGGTGAGTACAGTACCTTACTAACACTGGCATTTCCATTTGGGGTCATTACAGTACCTTACTAACACTGGCATTCCACTGTGGTGCATTACAGAACCTTACTAACACGGCATTCCACTGTGGTAAAATTACAAAAACCTTACTAACACTGGCATTCCACTGTGGTCATTACAGCCCTTTACTAAAAACGGGCTTTCCCACTGTGGTGCAGACAAACCCTTACTAACACTGGCATTCCACTTCCTTACAAACCCTTTCTCCACTGGCTTTCCAACGTTACTTACAGAACTTCACACTTGGGCATCCACGAACTTACATACCTTCCAACTTGGGCATTCCCAGGGCCTTACGTACCTCTACAACGGGGTTCCATGGGGTTACTACCTTTAATTCAAACTGGGCATTTAAAGGGTTCAAAACAGTCCTTTACAACTGGCATCACGTTATAACAGCCTTCCCCTGGCATCCACTTTTACATACGTCCTTCCCCCTTGGCACCCACTTTCATGCATTCCATTTTACAAACACTGACTTCCATTTGGGAAATACTGAAACCCTTACTAACACTGCCATTCCACTGTGGTTAATTACAGAACCTTACTAACATTGGCATTCCATTTGGGGTGCAGTACAGTACCTTACTAACACTGGCTTTCCACTGTGGTGCATTACAGTACCTTACTAACACTGGCATTCACTGTTGTGCTTAAATAACCTTTACTAACACTGGCATTCCACTGTGTCATACAACCTTACTAACACTGGATTCCACTTTTTACACAGACCTTACTCCCACTGGCATTCCACTGTGGTGAGTACAGAACCTTACTAACACTGGCATTCCACTGTGGTGCAAACAGAACCTTACTAAACACTGCATTCCACTGTGGTTAAATTACAGACCTTACTAACCCGGGGAAAATTTTCCACTGGTCCATTAAAGCCCACTAAACATGGCTTTCCTTGGGGGCCCAGTACCTTACAAAAACCACTGGCTTCCACTGTGGTCTTTTCAGTCCTTACTAACACGGGGCATTCCACTGGGTAAAACAAACCTTACTAACACTGGTTCCCTGGGGGAAAGTCCCTTAAAACACTGGCTTTCCCAGGGGGTATTACAGTCCTTACAAAAAACACGGGCATTCCACTGTGGTGCTACGACCTTATAACACGGCATTCCACTGTGGTGATACAGTCCCTTTACTAACCTGGCATTCCACTGGGGTCATTACGAAACCTTACTAAACCTGGCTTTCATGGGTGCGTACAGAACTTACTAACATTTTCCACCCCCTTTGGGGTCTTACAGAACCTTCTAACTGGCTTTCCACTGGGGTACATTCAGACTTTAAAAACCTGGCTTCCCGTGGGGCAGCCAAACCCTTTACTCCCAAAAATGGCTTCCACTGGGGTGCAGTACGAACCTTAAAAACCTGGCTTCCACTGTGGTCATTACAGATTTTAACTAACCCCATTCCATGGGTCATTCGCCTTACTAAAACTGGCATTCCATGGGGGCAGTACAGTCCCTTTACTAACCGGCTTTTGGGGTTATTTACAACCCTTTTCTCACGGGGACCCTTTTTTAAAATTCATTTACCTTAAAAACACTGGCCCATTTTGGTACAAAACCTTCTAAAGGGGCTTTCCCCCTTGGGTACAACCTTACTCCTTTTCTTCCACTGGCATTCAGTTTATAAACCCCATTCACTGGTTCAGTACAGACCTTATAACACTGGCATTCCACTGTGGTGCATTTACGTACTTATAACACTGGCAATTCCACTGTGGGTTGCATACAGAACCTTACTAACATGGCCATTCCACTGTGGTGCAAAAGTACCTCTACTAACATGGCTTTCCACTGGGGTTTACATTACAGAACCTTACTAACACTGGCATTCCACTGTGGTGCAGTGCACTGGGTTTATTGACTAGAGCCAATTCTGTCATTTTGTGTCGTTAACCATTGTAGTGAGACCGGCAGATCGTAGCCTAGACAGTTGGTGTAGTATGGGGGTAAAAGTAGTATAATGCACATGGAAACATGTCCCAAGGTGCCAGGGACACACTAATCACCACCCCCCCATAAAAATAAAATAACATTGGTTGTCCCACTGGCTATCATAAGTTGAATGCACCAATTTGTAAGTGGCTCTGGATAAGAGCGTCTGCTAAATGACGTAAATGTAAACGTAATGTAAGGAAATAGAACTGGACTGATAGTTTATTGTAACGTTTAAAGGTCTTGTTCAGGCTGGTGTGTGTGGTCATTAACCTAACAGATCTCTCGCTCTTCTCCCTGCAGTTTGGAAGGTGAGGAGGCTTGCGGTGAGGAGGTGGGCGGGTCTTTAGACCAATACAGTCACGGCGTCCCTCCAACCCACAGCGTCGACGGTACCGGGCAGGACCGCTTCGACGGCGGACATCTCTACAGCCACGTGGTGTTGCCAGGGCAACCACGGCCACGACGACCCAAGCTGCAGCACAGCCAGTCCATCCTCAGGAAGCAGGCAGAGGAGGAGGCTATCAAACGCTCCCGATCCCTGTGTGAGAGCTATGAGCTATCAGCCGACCTACAGGACAAACAGGTAGGGGAGGTAACACAGCCCCCATAGGACCAGGAGTGGGAGGGAGCCGTGCTAGTTAACTAGATAGTTACTTACTACCCACTGACTAGCTCAGGGAGAGGGAGGGAGCAGTGCTAGTTAACTAGATAGTTACTTACTACCCACTGACTAGCTCAGGGAGAGGGAGGGAGCCGTGCTAGTTAACTAGATAGTTACTCCCTACCCACTGACTAGCTCAGGGAGAGGGAGGGAACAGTGCTAGTTAACTAGATAGTTACTTACTACCCACTGACTAGCTCAGGGAGAGGGAGGGAGCAGTGCTAGTTAACTAGATAGTTACTGACTAGCTCAGGGAGTGGGAGGGAGCAGTGCTAGTTAACTAGATAGTTACTTACTAGACAGTATTACCGTGTTACCGTGTTACCGTGTTACAGTATTACAGTGTTACCGTGGTTTACAGTGTTACCGTGTTACCGTGTTACCGTGTTACCGTGTTACTAAGTTACAGTGTTACAGTGTTACTGTGTTACAGTGTTACCGTGTTACTATGTTACCATTTTATATTACCGTTTTAGGTTACTATATTACGTGTTACTTTTTTACCGTGTTCCCGTGTTACCGTATTCCCTTTGTTACAGTTTTTTACAGTTTTAAGTTTTTTACAGTTTTTACGTTTTACCGTTTTACCGTGTTCCCGGGGGTTACCGTATTACCGTGTTACCGTGTACCGTGTTACTGTGCCGTGTTACGTGTTCATTTTTACCTTTTTTGGTACCGGTTACCGTTTTTATGTATTCCCGTGTTACCGTGTTACTGGTTACAGGTTACAGTGTTACCGTTTTTACTGTGTTACAGTGTTACCGGACAGGTTACAGGTTACATATTACAGGTTACGTGTTACGGTTCCGTGTTTATTTAAGTGTTCCCGTGTTCCCGTTTATATATTAAGTGTTCGTGTTAGTGTTCCGGTTACGGTTCCGTGTTACTAGATTGTTTTACCGTGTACCGGTTACGTGTTACTTATACAGTGTTAGGGTTTTTACCGTGTTACATTTTACAGGTTCGGTTACTGTTTACCGTTTTCCCGTTTTACTGTGTTACAGTGTTATATTACATTTGTTAAGTGTTTTATGTTACCGTGTTACCGGTTACAGGTTACTGTGTTACAGTGTTACTTATTACAGTTTTTATGTGTTATGTTTACAGTGTTACCGTGTTCCCGTTTTCCCGTGTTCGTGTTACAGGTACATACAGTTTTACTGTGTTACGTGTTACAGTGTTACCGTTTTCCCGTTTTACAGTTACTGTTTTACTAAGTTCCCGGTTTTACAGGTTACTGTGTTACAGTTTACCGTTTTTATTTTCCATTTTTACAGTTTCCCATGTTAAGTGTTACATATTACAGGTCATGTGTTTTATTTTTTCGTGTTAGTGTTACGTGTTTGTGTTACCGGGGTTCCCATGTTTATATTTCAGTGTTTTCCGTGTTCCCGTGCCCGGTTTTCCCGGGTTTTTACGGGTTTTCTATTTTTAAGTTCACTTGTTTATGTGTACGTTTTACGGGTTTTACGTGTTACTATTTTTTCCCCTGTTATAAGTTACCGGTTACTGTGTTACTTTTACGTGTTACTGGTTACCGTTTTTCCCGTGTTCCCTATTCCCGTGTTCCGTGTTCCCGTTTTACAGTGTTACAGTGTTACCGTTTTTCCGTGTTACCGTGTTACCGTTTTTTACATGTTCTGTTTTTACCGTTATGTATTACAGTGTTACCGTGTTACTTTGTTCGTGTTTTACTGTGTTACCGTGTTCCGTGTTATGTGTTCAAAATTACCGTGTTACTTGTTACCAGGGCCGTGTTACATTTTACAAAGTTTACGTGTTACCGTTAATGTGTTCCCGCGTTACTAATTACAGTGTTAGGTTACAGTTTCCCGTTTTTTACCGTATTAAGTTCCCGCTTACAGTTTTTCCCGTTCCCGGGTTTTTTACCTTTTACTGTGTTACGGTTACCGTGCCCATTTTTCCCGTTTTACGTGTTACTATATTAAGTGTTACGGTTTCCCGTGTTAATTTTTCCCGTGTTCCCGTTTTACAAAGTTACCGGGGTTTACAGTGTTACCGTGTTACCGTGTTACCGTGTTACTGTGTTACTATATTAGAGTGTTACTGTGTTACAGTGTTACTTTTTTCCCCGTGTTACCAGTTACAAAGTTCTGGTTACGTGTTACTGGTTACTGTGTTCCGTGTTACCGTGTTCCCGGTTTTACTTATTACAGTGTTACCGTGTTACGTTTTTTACTGTTTTCCCGTGTTACCATGTTAAAAGTTAAGTGTTACGGTTTTTAGTGTTACTGTGTCCCGGTTCCGGGGTTTACCTGTTATGTGTTACGTTTATATATTACGTGTTACGGTTACGTGTTCCCGTGTTAGTGTTCCCGTGTTACTAATTTCGTGTTACGGGTTTTTACCGTGTTAAAGTGTTACCGTGTTACTATGTTACCATGTTACTAATTTACCGGGTTCCGTAGTACCGTTTTACTATTTTTACAGTGTTACTGGGGATACAGTTTTTCCCGTGTTCCCGTATTACCGTTTTACAGTGTTACTGTGTTACTATATTACAGTTTTCCCGTGTTCCGTTTCAGGTTATGTGTTCCCGTTTACCGTGTTACTAATTTTCCGTGTTACATTTTTTACCGGTTCCCATTTTATATTTTTCCCGTGTTACAGTTTTACTGTTTTTATGTTTTCCTTTTTACCGTGTTACCGGTTACTATATTACGGGTTTTTACCGTTTTACAGTGCTACCGTGTTACGATTACAAGTTACCGTTTTTACAGTGTTACCGTTTACCGTGTACTTTTTACGTTTTTACCGTGTTACCTATTACCGTTACTATATTAGAGTGTTACTGTTTTCTGTGTTACCGTGTACCGTTTTCCAGTTGCTATATTAGAGTTTTTTACTGGTTTCTGTTTTACCGTTTACCTTTTTACGGGGTCCCGTTTTCCCAGTTACCATGTTACTATAAGGGTTTTACTGGTCCCGTGTTCCCGTGTTACCGTTTTCCCCATGTTACAAATTTACCTTTTTCCCGCGTTACTATTTACAGTTTTACCGTTTTTACGGGGTTATGTGTTACCGTTTACCATTTTAAAAGGTTACCGTGTTCGTTTACTTGTAGTGTTACCGTGTTCCGGGTTTTTTAGTGTTACCATTTTTTAGTTTTTATATATTACAGTTTTTCCCGGACTTGTTACGGGTTTTTCATGTTCCCGGTTCCCGGTTTTACTAAGTTACAGTTACGTGTTAGGGTTACAGTGTTACCGTGTTTACCGTGTTTACGTGTTATAAGTTCCCGGTTACAGTTTTGTTGTTACCGTTTACGTGTTATAATTTACATTTGTTACTGTTCCGTGTCCCGTGTTCCCGTATTACCTTTTTTTACCGTTTTTTAAAGTTTTACAGTGTTACCGATTACCGGTTCCCATGTTACGTTTTGCCTTTACCGTTACCGTGTTACATTTTACATTTTTCCCGGGTTAGGGGTTTTTACAGTGTTATTGTTCCGTTTTACGTGTTACAAATTTTACCGTGTAAATTGTTACATGTTCCCATGTTCCCATTTTACCGTGTTACCGTTTTACCTGTTCTGTGTTACCGGTACAGTGTTCCCGTGTTACCGTATTACTAATTTTCCCGCTTAAGTGTTCCGTTTACCGTGTTACCATGTTATGTGTTACCGTTTTTCCCGTGTTTCCGACCGTGTTCCCGGTTATATTTTTACAGTTTTACAGTGTTACCGTGTTAGTGTTACAGTTTATAAACGTTTTACAGTTTTTACCGTGTAACCTTTTGGTTCCCCGTTACAAAGTTACCGGTTACAGGTTAAGTTTTTAGTTTTTACGTGTTCCCGTCTTACCGGTTACCGTGTTACCATGTTACTAAGTTACCGTGTTACCGTGTTAATAAATTACAGTGTTACCGTGTTACTGTGTTACCGTGTTACCGTGTTACCATGTTACTAATTTTCCCGTGCACATTTTTTACTGTGTTCCGTGTTCCAGTTCCAGTTACCGGTTCCATGTTACTATTAACAGTGTTCCCGTTTTTCCCGTGTTTACGGTTTTACGTTTTCCCGTGTTACGGGTTACTAATTTAACGGTTACTTTGTTACCATGTTCGTTTACCATTTTACTAAGTTACCGTTTTTAAAAGTGTTACGTGTTACGTGTTCCCGTGTTCCCTTTTTCCTTTTTACCGTGTTACTATTTAAGGTTAGTGTTACGTTTTTTATGTGTTACAGTTTTAACCTTTTTTCCGTTTTTACCGTGGTAATTTTGGTTATGTTTTTCCCCGTGGTACAGGTTACGTTTTTCCGTGTTACAGGGTTCCCATGTACCGGTTTACTATATTACAGTTTTTTACGTTTTTCGTTTTACCGTGTTCCCGGGTTTTACTGTGTTACAGGTTAAATTTACGTGTTACCGTGTTACTTTGTTACGTTTTTCTGATTAAAAGTGTTACCGTGTTACCGTGTTACAGTGTTACCGTGTTAAGGTCCTGTTTTACTATATTCCCGGTTACTGTTTTCCCCGTTTTCTGTATTACAGTTTTGGGTTTTTACTGTTTACCGTGTTACCGGTTACTTTTGTTTCCCGTGTTCCCGTGTTTTATGTGTTCAGTGTACTAATTACGTGTTACGTGTTCCCTGTTACCATTTTACCGTTTATATATACAGTTTTCCCGTTTTACGTGTACCGTGTTCCCGTGTTACAGTGTTACCTTTGTTCCCGTTTTACTGTGTTACGTGTTTTTATTTAAGTGGTTTCCCGGTTTTACCTGTACTGTATTAAGTGTTACCTTTTGTTCCCGTGTTACCGTGTTACCGTGTTGGGTTTCCGGTTAATTTACCGTTTTCCCGTGTTTTATTCAGTTTTTCCCGTTTTTCCCGTGTTACAGGTTCCGTGTTACCGTGTTACTGTTTTAAGTGTTATTATATTCATGTTCCCGTGTTACCGTGTTCCCGTGTTACTGTTTACGTTTTACGTGTTTTTTACCGTTTTCCGTGTTCCCGGGTTTTTTACAGTGTTCCTGTGTTACTATTTTTCCGTGGTTAAGTTTTACCTGTACATATTCGTTTTCCCGTGTTTTCAGTTTTCCCGTGTTACCGTTTACTGTTTTACAGTGTTACGTTTTTTGGGGTTTTTCCCGGGTTACCGTGTTATTTTGTTACCGTTTTTACCGTGTTTTTGTTACAGTGTTCTTTTTACAGTTTTACCGTGTTACCATTTTTCCTGTCTATTTTACGTGTTCCCCGTGTTACCGTGTTCCCGTTACCGTTTTTACAGTGTTCCCGTTTTTTACTGTGTTACTGTTTATATTACAGTGCAACCGTTTTCCCGTGTTACCGTATTCTATTTTACAGGGTTAAATTTTATGTTTTTTACCGTTTCCGGAAGGGTGTTACCGTGTTACGTGTTACGTGTGAAGTGCTAAAAGTGTTAAGGTTAGGGGTTTATATATTAAGTATTACCGTTTCCGTTTTACCGTTTTCCCGTGTACAGTTTTTACCGTGTTACAGTTTTAAACTATATTTACAGTTTGTCAGGGTTTTTTTTTTGTGTTCCCTTTTTCCCGTTTTAAACGTTTTACAGTGTTACAGTTTTTAAGTTTTTACCGTGGTTCCCGTGTTTCCCGTTTTTCCGGGGTTTGTTACAGTTTTACCGTGTTAACGTGTTCAGTGTTCCCCAGTTATTGTGTTTACAGGTTACGTTTTTTTTCCCGTTTTTTGTGTTCAGTTTCCATGTACGTTTTGGGTTACGGTTACTGGGTTACCATGTCCATTTTATATTTACAGTTTTCAGTGTTCCCGTTTACAATGTTACAGGGGTTTCCCAGTTACGGTGTTACCGTGTTACATATTACTGTACATGTTACCGTGTTCAGGGGTACCATGTTTCCCATGTACTGTGTTCCCGTGTTCCCGTGTTACCGTATTAAAAAGTTCGGGGGTTACATGTTAGGGGTTTACGTGTTTAGTTTGTTACTATTTTTACGGTACCGTTTACCTGTTACCTTTTATTGGTCCAGTTTTACAGTGTTACGGTTTACTGGTTGCCGTTTTTTTACCGTGTTACCGTATTACAAGTTACGTGTTACGTGTACCTTGTTACCGGTTACAGTGTTCCAATAGTGTTACCGTGTTACTTTGTTAACGGTTACAGTGTTACCTTTGGTTACCTTTTTACCGTATTAAAATTTTTACAGTGTACAGTGTTACCTTTGTTCCCGTGTTTCTAATTTTACGTTTTTACGGTTCCCCGGCAAAACGGGTTACGTGTTCCCGTGTACCGGTTACTGTGTTACCATTTTACAGTGTTTCAGGTTGTTTGTGTTAAAAGTTACAGTGTTTTACAGTGTTACAGTGTTACAGGTTACCCTATTACAGTTTTACTTATTACGTTTTTACGTTTTTTACCGTGTTACCATGTTTTGTGTTACAGTGTTATGGTACTGTTTTTAGTGTTCCCGTGTTACCGTTTACTGTACATTTTTTCCCGTGTTACAGTGTTACTGTGTTCCGGTTCTTTTTTACTATTTTGTGTTCCCGTTTTACCGGTTACTGTGTTACAAGTTACAGTTTACAGGGGTTACGTTTACGTGTTACGTGTTACAGTGTTACTATATTAGTTTCCCGTTTTTTACCTGTTACAGTTTTACAGGTATGGTTACATATTACGGGTTTTACAGTTTTCCCAAAAATTCCCATGTCTAGGTAAATTGGGCCTTGTTTCCGTGTAAACCTTTGTTACCTTTTGTTACAGTGTTACAGTGTTACTGTTGTACTTAATTACTTGTTTACAGTGTTACAGTGTTACAGTGTTACTGTGTTACAGTAGTGTTACTGTGTTACAGTGTTACCGTGTTACCGTGTTACCGTATTACAATGTTACAGTGTTACAGTGTTACAGTGTTACCATGTTATTGTGTACATTGTTACAGTATTACAGTGTTACAGTGTTACCGTGTTACCATGTTACAGTGTTACAGTGTTACTGTGTACTATATTACTGTGTACCGTGTTACCGTGTTACCGTGTTACATATTACCATGTTACTATGTAAATGTGCTACGGTGTTATTATGTTACTGTGTTATTATGTTACAGAACTATAGATCTATTCTCTATGTGTTTGTTCATTTGTATCTGGGTTTGTTTGGATGTTATTTCCCTAATTGTGTGGGCATGCATACTGAGTGTACAAAACATTAAGAACACCTGCTCTTTCCATGACGTAGACTGACCAGGTGAATTCCAGGTGAAAGCTATGATCCCTTATTGATGTCACCTGTTAAATCCACTTCAATCAGTCTAAATGAAGGGGAGGAGACATAGTATTTTAAGCCTTGAGGCATGGATTGTGTATGTGTGCCATTCAGAGGGGAATGGGCAAGGCAAAATATTTAAGTGCCTTTGAACAGGGTATGGTAGTAGGTGCCAGGAATGGTATCAAGAATGGTCCACCACCCAAAGGACATCCAGCCAACCTGACACAACTGTGGGAAGCATTAGAGTCAACATGGGCCAGCATCCCTGTGGAACGCTTTCAACACCTTGTAGAGTCCATGCCCTGACGAATTGAGGCTGTACTCAGGGCAAAAGGGGGGGTGCAACTCAATATTAGGAAGGTGTTCCTAAGGTTTGGTATACTCAGTGTATGCCACATACTTATTCATTTGAAATGGTTGGTAATGTAAATGAACATGTAAAGGGATAACAAAGCTTCTCATGCTGTCGATTGATTGATTGGTTGGTTTTATTGATTGACTGACTGACAGATTGATTACCGTCTCTCTCTCTCTCTCTCCGCCAGGTGGAGATGCTGGAGCGTAAGTATGGAGGCAGTTTCATAACGCGTAATGCGGCCTGCACCATCCAGACAGCCTTCCGCCAGTATCAGATGAACAAGAACTTTAAACGTCTCCGCAGTTCCATGTCCGAGAACCACATGTCCCGACGTATCGTCCTGTCCAGCATGAGGATGCAGTTCTCCTTGGAAGGCCCTGAGAAGGTTCACCAGTCCTCCTCCCTCACCGACAGCAGAACCAAACACCTGGGGGGCCTGATCCAATCAGAATGCAGCGCTGACCTGGAGGGGTGTGGTCCCAGATAGTATGAAGTCACCTGGGGTAGCCCAGAACTCTGACTTCACCGACGCCATAACGGAGCTGGAGGACGCGTTCTCCCGTCAGGTCAAGTCTCTGGCCGAGTCTATAGACGATGCTCTGAACAGTAGGAGTCTTCACAGGGAGGAGGGGGAGGCAGGAGAGATGGGGCAAGGGGGGAAAGGACACCCCGACTTGGACAAAGACAGAGACAGAGAGCTGTTCTCCTACCAGGTCAAACCCTCCTCACACAGCAGTGCGGAACGCCGCAAACTGGACGAGATGACAGCATCATACAGCGATGTGATTCTCTACATTGATGAGGAAGAGCTGTCCCTTCCTCTTCCTCTGTCTCAGTCCCTGGACCGTCCCTACTCTCCTCTCCCACTTTCTCAGTCCCTAGAGCGTCCCGACTCCCCCCTCCCCTTAGTAGACCGGCCCTCCTCCACAGAGTCGGAGCTGCGTTTGCGTTCTCTCTCCTGGTCTCTGGTCCATAAGGATGATAAAGGTCAGGGGTCAGACACCTCCTGCCGCAGCACCCCCTCCCTGGAGCAGCAGGAGCAGAGGCTGAGGGTCGACCACCTCCCGCTGTTGACCATCGAGCCACCCAGCGACAGCTCCGTGGAGCTCAGTGACCGTTGCGACCGCTCCTCTCTGAAGAGACAGAACGCCTACGATCGCCAGCCCAGTAGTCAGACAGCCAGCCCCAAACATCCCCCTCCTCACCCCTCCTCTCACCCCCCCACCTTGTCTCACCACCCATCTCACCCCCACGGCCTGCCCCCCCAGGGACCCTCCTGGGATGAGGACACCCCCCGCCGTCGGCCACGCCCGCTAGAGGCCCACCTGGCGATCAACGGGATGGCTAACCGGCAGAGCAAGTCAGAGTCAGACTTTTCAGATGGGGACAATGACAGTATCAACTCTATGTCTAACAGTAATGACACTATTAACTGCAGCTCTGAGTCCTCCAGTAGAGACAGCCTGAGAGACCAGACCCTCAGTAAACATACCTATCACAAAAAGACACGCAACAGCTGGGACTCACCGGCCTTCAGCAATGACATCATCAGGAAGAGACACTATCGCATTGGACTCAACCTGTTTAACAAGTAGGTTCAGGACAGAGGCACACACACACACACACACTAAGTCTGAGTTATATTACCTAGTACTTTTGAAGCAGTCTGATGATAATCAGTGGTTGTAATCAGAGATCAGTGGTTGTAATCAGTGATCAGTGGTTGGAATCGGAGATCAGTGGTTGTAATCAGAGATCAGTGGCTGTAATCGGAGATCAGTGGTTGTAATCAGAGATCAGTGGTTGTAATCGGAGATCAGTGGTTGTAATCAGAGATCAGTGGTTGTAATCAGAAGTCAGTGGTTGTAATCAGAGATCAGTGGTTGTAATCAGAGATCAGTGGTTGTGATCAGTGGTTGTAATCAGAGATCAGTGGTTATAATCAGCATCCAATCGAAATGTCTTTTGGAGATTATTCCAAACATAGGGTGCAAGGAAATTAAAGGCCGATTTACCAACACCAATACCGACACCAAAGGAGTCTCCAAAGTTAACCAACCCGGTGAACGGGTAATCTTAACAGTGATGTTAGGTAAGTCGGAAGCTTATGGAGCAGGGCTTTGTAAACAAAAAGAGCGTAATGATGTGATCTACATGACTTTAAAGAGGACCAGCCAACCTTTTGGTAAAGAATGCGTCATAAAACTGTCTCCTGTGACAAAACGAAGGGCGCTATGATAAACGACACCCAAGGCTTTAAGAGTAGAGGCAGCTGCACTTTGATAAATAGTATCACCATAATCAAGAACAGGTAGAAAGGCTGACTGCACAATCTGCTTCCTGCTGACTAGAGAGAGACAAGATCTGTTTCTATAAAAAAAAGGCAACTTTAAATCTTAACTTCTTAACAAGCTCATTCGTATGCTTTTAAACATTACAGTGCCTTAGGAAACTATTCAGACCCCTTGACTTTTTCCATATTTTGTAACGTTACAGCCTTATTCTAAAACAGATTTTTAGAAATGTTTGCTAATTTATAAAAAAATAAACAACTGAAATACACATTGACATAAGCATTCAGACCCTTTGTTGAAGAACCTTTGTCAGCGATTACAGCCTTGAGTCTTCTTGGGTATGACGCTACAAGCTTGGCACACCTGTATTTGAGGAGTTTCTCCCATTCTTCTCTGCAGATCCTCTCAAGCTTTGTCAGGTTGGATGGGGAGCGTTGCTGCACAGCTATTTTCAGGTCTCCAAAGATGTTTGATTGGGTTCAGAGAGAATTGAAATGGCGCCGGAGAAGATGGCTGCCGTTTTACAGCCCTCTAACCAATTGTACTATTATGTGTGTTTTTCCGCGTTATTTGTAATTTATTTTGTACATAATGTTTCTGCCATCGTCTCTTATAACCAAAAAGAGCTTCTGGATATCAGGACAGCGATTACTCACCTCGTATTGGACGAATAATTTTTCTTCAACGAGGCGGCCGCGAAGGATATCCTACAGACATCCGACAAGGCCCAAATCCCTGTAATTCGCATGAGGAAGAGACAGAGATATTGTGGACGTAGGTCGGGGTGCCTTGTAAGGATCCGACGGCGAGCGAGTAAACTGCCGCTCCCATCAATCCTATTAGCCAATCTTCAATCATTGGAAAATAAATTGGATGACCTAAGATTACGGTTATCCTATCAACGGGACATTAAAAACTGTAATATCTTATGTTTCACAGAGTTGTGGCTGAACGACGACATGGATAACATACAGCTAGTGGGATATACGCTACATCGGCAGGATAGAACGGCTGACTCCGGTAAGACAAGGGGTGGCGGTCTGTGTATATTTGTAAACAACAGCTGGTGCACAAAATCAAATACTAAGGAAGTCTCGAGGTTTTGCTCGCCTGAGGTAGAGTATCTTATGATAAGCTGTAGACCACACTATTTACCAAGAGAGTTTTCATCTATATTTTTCATAGCTGTCTATTTACCACCACAAACCAATGCTGGCATTAAGATTGCACTGAATGAGCTGTATAAGGCCATAAGTCAACAGGAAAACGCTCATCCAGAGGCAGCGCTCCTAGTGGCCGGGGACTTTAATGCAGGGAAACTTAAATCCGTTCTACCTAATTTCTACCAGCATGTTAAATGTGCAAGTAGAGGAAAAAAAACTCTAGACCACCTTTACTCCACACACAGAGATGCATACAAAGCTCTCCCTCGCCCTCCATTTGGCAAATCTGACCATAACTCTATCCTCCTGATTCCTGCTTATAAGCAAAAACTAAAGCAGGAAGCACCAGTGACTCGGTTAATAAAAAAGTGGTCAGATGACGCAGATGCTAAGCTACAGGACTGTTTTGCTAGCACAGACTGGAACATGTTCCGGGATTCTTCAGATAGCATTGAGGAGTACACCACATCAGTCACTGGCTTCATCAATAAGTGCATCGATGATGTCGTTCCCACAGTGACCGTACGTACATACCCCAACCAGAAGCCATGGATTACCTGAAACATCCTCACTGAGCTAAAGGGTAGAGCTGCCGCTTTCAAGGAGCGGGACTCTAACCCGGACGCTTATAAGAAATCCCGCTATGCCCTCCGACGAACCATCAAAGAGTCAATACAGGACTAAGATTGAATCGTACTACACCGGCTCTGACGCTCGTCGGATGTGGCAGGGCTTGAAAACTATTACAGACTACAAAGGGAAGCACAGCCGCAAGCTGCCCAGTGACACAAGACTTCCAGACGAGCTAAACCACTTCTATGCTCGCTTCGAGGCAAGCAACACTGAAGCATGCATGAGAGCACCAGCTGTTCCGGATGACTATGTGATCACGCTCTCCGTAGCCGATGTGAGTAAGACTTTTAAGCAGGTCAACATTCACAAGGCCGCAGGGCCAGACGGATTACCAGGACGTGTACTCCGAGCATGTGCTGACCAACTGGCAAGTGTCTTCACTGACATTTTCAACATGTCACTGACCGAGTCTGTAATACCAACATGTTTCAAGCAGACCACCATAGTCCCTGTGCCCAAGGACACTAAGATAACCTGCCTAAATGACTACTGACCCGTAGCACTGACGTCTGTAGGTATGAAGTGCTTTGAAAGGCTGGTCATGACTCACATCAACACCATTATCCCAGAAACCCTAGACCCCACTCCAATTTGCATACCGCCCCAACAGATCCACAGATGATGCAATCTCTATTGCACTCCACACTGCCCTTTCCCACCTGGACAAGAGGAACACCTACGTGAGAATGCAATTCATTGACTACAGCTCAGCATTCAACACCATAGTGCCCTCAAAGCTCATCACTAAGCTAAGGATCCTGGGACTAAACACCTCCCTCTGCAACTGGATCCTGGACTTCCTGACGGGCCGCCCCCAGGTGGTAAGGGTAGGTAACAACACATCTGCCACACTGATCCTCAACACGGGGGCCCCTCAGGGGTGCGTGCTCAGTCCCCTCCTGTACTCCCTGTTCACCCATGACTGCATAGCCAGGCATGACTCCAACACCATCATCAAGTTTGCCGACGACACAACAGTGGTAGGCCTGATCACCGACAACGATGAGACAGCCTATAGGGAGGATGTCAGAGACCTGGCCATGTAGTGCCAGGATAACAACCTCTCCCTCAACGTGACCAAGACAAAGGAGATGATTGTGGACTACAGGAAAAAAAAGAGGACTGAGCACGCCCCCATTCTCATCGACGGGGCTGTAGTGGAACAGGTTGAGAGCTTCAAGTTCCTTGGTGTCCACATCACCAATGAACTATCATGGTCCAAACACACCAAGACAGTCGTGAAGAGGGCACGACAAAGCCTATTCCCCCTCAGGAGACTGAAACGATTCGGCATGGGTCCTCAGATCCTCAAAAAATTATACAGCTGCTCCATCGAGAGCATTCTGACTGGTTGCATCACCGCCTGGAATGGCAACTGCTTGGCCTCCGACCGCAAGGCACTACATAGGGTAGTGCGTACGGCCCAGTACATCACTGGGGCAAAGCTTCCTGCCATCCAGGACCTCTATACCAGGCGGTGTCAGAGGAAGGCCCTCAAAATTGTCAAAGACTCCAGCCACCCTAGTCATAGACTGTTCTGTCTGCTACCGCACGGCAAGCGGTAACGGAGTGCCAAGTCTAGGTCCAAAAGACTTCTCAACAGCTTCTACCCCCAAGCCATAAGACTCCTGAACAGCTAATCATGGCTACCCTGACTATTTGCACTGCCCCCCACCCCATCTTTTTACGCTGCTGCTACTCTGTTAATTATTTATGCATAGTCACTTTAACTCTACCCACATGTACATATTACTTCAACTACCTCTACTAGCCGGTGCCCCCGCACATTGACTCTTCACCGGTACCCCCCTGTATATATAGCCTCCCTACTGTTATTTTATTTTACTTCTGCTCTTTTTTTCTCAACACTTTTTTTGTTGTTGTTTTATTTTACTTTTTTAAATTAAAAATAAATGCACTGTTGGTTAAGGGCTGTAAGTAAGCATTTCACTGTAATGTCTGCACCTGTTGTATTTGGCGCATGTGGCCAATAAAATTTGATTTGATTTGAAGTTTGGGCTCTGGCTGGGCCACTCAAGGACATTCAGAGACTTGTCCTGAAGCCACTCCTGCATTGTCTTGGCTGTGTGCTTTGTGTCATTGTCCTGTTAGAAGGTGAACCTTCACCCCAGTCTGAGGTCCTGAGCGCTCTGGAGCAGGTTTTCATCAAGGATCTCTATGTACTTTGCTCCGTTCATCTTTCCCTCGATCCTGACTAGTCTCCCAGTCCCTGCCGCTGAAAAATATCCCCACAGCATGATGCTGCCACCACCATGCTTCACCATAGGGATGGTGCCAGGTTTCCTCCAGACGTGACGCTTGGCATTCAGGCCAAAGAGTCCAATCTTTGTTTCATCAGACCAGAGATTCTTCTTTCTCATAGTCTGAGAGTCTTTAGGTGCCTTTTGGCAAACTCCAAGCGGGCTGTCATGTGCCTTTTACTGAGGAGTGCTTCCGTCTGGCCACTCTACCATAAAGGCCTGATTGGTGGAGTGCTGCAGAGATGGTCTTTCTGGAAGGTTCTCCCATCTCCACAGAGGAACTCTAGAGCTCTGTTAGAGTGACCATCGGGTTCTTGGTCACCTCCCTGACCATGGCCCTTCTCCCCAGATTGCTCAGTTTGGCTGGCCGGCCAGCTCTAGGAAGAGTATTGGTGGATCCAAACATCTTCCATTTAAGAATGATGGAGGCCACTGTGTTTTTGGGGACCTTCAATGCTGCAGAAATGTTTGGTACCCTTCCCCAGATCTGTGCCTCGACACAATCCTGTCTCGGAGCTCTACGGACAATTCCTTCGACCTCATGGCTTGGTTTTTGCTCTGACATGCACTGTCAACTGTGTGACCTTACATAGACAGGTGTGTGCCTTTCCAAATCATGTCCAATCAATTGAACTTACGACAGGTGTACTCCAATCAAGTTGTAGAAACATCTCAAGGATGATGAATGGAAACAGGATTCACCTGAGCTCAAGTTCGAGTCTCATAGCAAAGGGGCTTAATACTTCCAGTATGTAAATACGGTATTTCTGTTTTCTATTTTTAATACATTTGCAAACCTGTTTTCACTTTCTCATTATGGGGTATTGTGTGTAGATTGCTGAGGATGTTTTAAAATTTGAATCCATTTTAGAATAAGGTTGTAACGTAACAAAATGTGGAAAAAGTCAAGGGGTCTGAATATTTTCTGAAGGCACTGTAAATCATTGTCAGTCTAAATACCATGGTATTTGTATGCAGGGACTTGTTTGATTATAGAACCATCTGATGAGTGAAGATGTGATCTGAGAATCTTACGAGAACTTGAAAACAACGTGTATTTAGTTTTGCCCATATTAAGTACCAGTTTTAAATCATTAAGGGCTTCCTGAACAGCTTCAAAATGGGACTGTAGCCTTGTCACAGCCAGGTCAGCAGTCGGGGCAATTGCTTACATAATAGTATAATCTGCATATAGATGAAATTTACCATTTTTAACAGATTGACCAATAGCATTTATATAAATAGTGAACAAAACAGATCCCAAAATCAACCCCTGTGGTACACCTTCATGTACTTTAAGAAATTCTGACTTAACCCCATCAATCACGATGGCCTGAGTTCTGTCACTAAGATAATCATGAAACTATGAGCAGGCGTCAGATCTCAGGTCTATCGAGGACAACTTATTCAATAAAATAGCATGATCAACTGTATCTGTGTGATTGTGTTTATCTTTGATGATTGTTGATCTGCTTTGATTTTCTTTGTGGACCATTACATTCCTTTTAATCAGCAGTGCTCCCCAGCCACCTCTCTTCTACCTCCTCTCAGGAAGCCCCCTATAGACCAGTAGGAGCCGTTCCTTTTAATCTCAGGAAGCCCCCTATAGACCAGTAGGAGCCGTTCCTTTTAATCTCAGGAAGCCCCCTGTAGACCAGTAGGAGCCGTTCCTTTTAATCTCAGGAAGCCCCCTGTAGACCAGTAGGAGCCGTTCCTTTTAATCTCAGGAAGCCCCCTATAGACCAGTAGGAGCCGTTCCTTTTAATCTCAGGAAGCCCCCTGTAGACCAGTAGGAGCCGTTCCTTTTAATCTCAGGAAGCCCCCTGTAGACCAGTAGGAGCCGTTCTTTTTAATCTCAGGAAGCCCCCTATAGACCAGTAGGAGCCGTTCCTTTTAATCTCAGGAAGCCCCCTGTAGACCAGTAGGAGCCGTTCCTTTTAATCTCAGGAAGCCCCCTGTAGACCAGTAGGAGCCGTTCCTTTTAATCTCAGGAAGCCCCCTGTAGACCAGTAGGAGCCGTTCCTTTTAATCTCAGGAAGCCCCCTATAGACCAGTAGGAGCCGTTCCTTTTAATCTCAGGAAGCCCCCTATAGACCAGTAGGAGCCGTTCCTTTTAATCTCAGGAAGCCCCCTATAGACCAGTAGGAGCCGTTCCTTTTAATCTCAGGAAGCCCCCTATAGACCAGTAGGAGCCGTTCCTTTTAATCTCAGGAAGCCCCCTGTAGACCAGTAGGAGCCGTTCCTTTTAATCTCAGGAAGCCCCCTGTAGACCAGTAGGAGCCGTTCCTTTTAATCTCAGGAAGCCCCCTATAGACCAGTAGGAGCCGTTCCTTTTAATCTCAGGAAGCCCCCTGTAGACCAGTAGGAGCCGTTCCTTTTAATCTCAGGAAGCCCCCTGTAGACCAGTAGGAGCCAGGCCGACCCATACCACCCCCTACACCCTCACCCAATCCGCAGCATCCCACCCTCATCCAATCCCCAGCATCCCACCCTCACCCAATCCCCAGCATCCCACCCTCACCAAAACCCCAGCATCCCACCCTCACCCAATCCCCAGCATCCCACCCTCATCCAATCCGCAGCATCCCACCCTCATCCAATCCCCAGCATCCCACCCTCACCCAATCCCCAGCATCCCACCCTCACCCAATCCCCAGCATCCCACCCTCATCCAATCCGCAGCATCCCACCCTCATCCAATCCCCAGCATCCCACCCTCACCCAATCCCCAGCATCCCACCCTCACCCAATCCCCAGCAGCCCACCCTCACCCCAAATCATGCTTCTTCTCTGACACATATTCAGACTCAGAAAATTCACGGATTAGGATAACGCTCTCTCTCTTCCTCCCTCTCTCCTCCCCTTAATCTCTATTTCTCTCTCTCTCCCCCCTCGTCCCCCCTACAGGAAGCCAGAGAAGGGGTGTCAGTACCTGATTGATCGAGGGTTTGTCCCAGACACTCCAGTGGGCGTGGCTCACTTCCTGCTCAAGAGGAAGGGCCTGAGCAGGCAAATGATTGGAGAGTTCCTGGGGAACAGGCAGAAAAAATTCAACAGAGATGTCCTGGAGTGAGTCAGCTATCTGTCTGTCTCTGTATCAGCAAGATCAGCTAAATCACCTGTCTCAGCAAGATCAGCTCTAGAAAACTCACAGCGGCAAACCAACATACCTTTTCCAACAAATCCTTCATCGTAAACACCATGTTGATGCTTCCCTTTAGATTGATCTAACTCCCTCAGCTTCTGTCTTCTAATTCTCCATTCAGCTCCTCATCTGTTCACAGAAACAGCTGGTCATTTCCATATTTACAGTAGTCTCTGAAGACCACACATATAAATGATGAATCTTCATCAGTCTATAATGCAATATGCATGAAACTGTTGTAGTTTGGGTGGTTGGGGTTATTTCTTGACACTCATCAATTATAATGATTCCTTTAAATGTGTTGTTTTCTGTTGCTTCAGCACTTGATAATAAGTCAGTCTACCAGAGAATATCTACTATGACAACAGTATCTGAGGCAGCAGTTTGAATATACACTGAGTGTACAAAACATTAGTCACACCTTCCTAATATTGAGTTGCACCCCCTTTTGCCCTGAGAACAGCCTCAATTCGTCAGGGCATGGACTCTACAAGGTGTTGAAAGCATTCCACAGGGATGCTGGCCCGTGTTGACTCCAATGCTTCCCACAGTTGTGTCAAGTTGGCTGGATGTCCTTTGGGTGGTGGACCATTCTTGATACACACGAGAAACTGTTGAGTGTGAAAACAACAGCAGCGTTGCAGTTCTTGACAAAAACCGGTGTGCCTGGCACCTACTACCATGCCCCGTTCAAAGGCACTTAAATATTTTGTCTTGCCCTATACTGTACGGTACCCACACAGCTAAAACAGAGAATCCCAGAGCTCAGACAGTCTTACAATCAGTAGTACATGTGTCTCTATGTTCATACCAATGTTCTCTTCTCCAGTTGAATATATATTATGTTCTGTATATCTCTATGTTCATGCCAATGTTCTCTTCTCCAGTTGTGTGGTGGATGACATGGATTTCTCGGCCATGGAACTAGACGAGGCTCTCAGGAAGTTCCAAGCTCAAATCAGAGTCCAGGGAGAGGCCCAAAAGGTGGAAAGACTCATAGAAGCTTACAGGTAACCCTAACCCTGAGATGTACTACCACACCACTATCCCTACCACACCCCACCACTACAACCCACACTCACACCACGGACCACACCACGACACAAGACAACCACTACCCACACACGACCACAACACGACACACCACGACCACACCACGAGCCCGACACACCAGACCCACGACGAACCCACACCACGACCACACCCACGAACCACACGAGACCCACACCACAGACCACATCCACGACCACGACCACACCGTGTCGAACAGCACGCACCCACGACCACACCACTGACCACACCACGGACACGACCACACACCACGACCACACCAAACGACCACGAGCCACACAACGACCACACCACGACCACGAACTAAACAGCGACCACACCCACGACACGGACCACGACCACACCACCACGACACACCACTACCACACCACGACCACGAGCACACAGGACCACACACGACCAACACCACGACCACCACGAGCCCGGCCACACCACGGACCACACCACGACCAAACAACGACCACAAGGACAGCCACCACACCACGACGACCACACCACGACCCACCAGACAACCACACCACAGCCACGACCACACCACGACCACACCACGACCACGACCACACCAGAGTCGCCGACCACTATCCACGACCACAGACGACCACACCACGACCACAGCACGACCACAACGACGATCCACACACGGACCACACCAAGACACTGAAACACACCGGCGTACCACTACCGCGACCAATACACACCACGGACCACACCACGACACGACCAAACAGCGACCACACCACGACCACGAGCAAACCACGACACAACCCAACGACCACGAACACACCCGCGACCACACCAACGACCACGACCACGACCACACCCGACAACGACCAAGACCACCCCAGAACCCAGAGCAACCCCACGACAAACACCACGACAACACCGAGACCACACAATCTTGAGACAGACCATCACCCCCACACCACACCAGACCACACCACTACCACAAGACAACCACAACACACACACCACCCTACGACTCACAAGAAACCACACACACCACGACCACCACACGACCACACCACGACCAAGACCAAAACCACCGAGCCGACACACGCAACGACTCCACATCGACGACCACACACGACCACCCACCAACGGACGACCACACCACGACCACCCCCACGACCACACCACGACCAGAACCACCGCGACCACACGCCCCACGACCACACCACGACCACGACCACACCACGACCACGACACGACGACACCACACCACGAGCACACCACGCCACCCACCACGACCACACCACGACCACACCACGACCAAGAGACACACCGACGACCACACCACGACCACCAACACGACCAGAGCACACCACGACCCACACACGACCACCACCACGGGCCCACGAAACACACCGCGACCACACCAAGACCACGACCACACACGACCACACCACGACCACTAGCCACACCACTACCACACCAAGACACACACCTACGACCACTACACCCGCTGACCACACCGTCACCACGACAACACCACACCACACCCACTACCAGACCACACCACGACCACACCACTACCACTATACACCACGACCACACCACTACCAACACCACGTACACTACCACGGACCACTCCAGACCACGACCACGGGACCACAGGCCACACCAGACCACGACCACACCACACAATACCACACCACGATCAACACCACCACCACACCAAGACCACACCACGGACCACACCCGACCACGACCACCACCACCGCACCTACGTACCACAACACGACCACACCACACACGACACACACCACGTACCACACCACGACCCCACACCACAACCACTACCACGACCACACCACCACCACACCCACACCACGACCACACCACGACCACGACCACAACCACGCAAAACGACCACACAACTGACTCACGACCACACACGTACCACACCACGACCACGACCCCAAACCACGACAACGTACCACACCACGACCACTACCAACACCACGACCACGACCACGACCACTACCACTACCACACACCACGACAAGACCAAAACCGACCACACCACCCACACCACACCACGACCACAGACACGTACCACTACCACACCACGACCAAACCACGATCCCACCAACTACCACGGGACCACACCACGACCACAAACTACCACGACCACGGACGACACCACCACACGACCACTACCCCGACCACCACCCACGACACGACCACGACGACGACCACACCACGACCACACCCGACCACGACCACCCACGACCACACACCGACCACGACCACACCACGACCAATACCACGACAACACCACACCACTAACCAACCAACGACCACGACCACACACGACCACACCCACGACCACACCAGAAACACACCACACCACGTACCACACCACGGACCACACCACTGACCACGACCACGACACGACCAGTACCACGACCACGACCACGACCCACACCACGACCACTACACTACCACTACCACGACCACACCCACTACTCACACCATGTACCACTGACTACACCACACACGACCACACCACTACCACACCATACCACTACACACACAACTACCACACCACACCACGACCACACCACTACCACGACACACCCACTAACACAACACGACACTACCACTACCCACACCACACATTTACATTACATTTTAGTCATTTAGCAAGCCGCTCGTATCCAGAGCGACTTAAAGGAGCAATTGAGGGTTAGGGCTTGCTCAAAGGGCACATTTACGTCATTTAGCAGAAGCTCTGATATCCAGAGCGACTCACCAATTGGTGCTGTTCACCCTATAGCCAGTGTTTTTTTTGATATAAACCACTTTTACAATTTGGGGGGGGGGGTAGAAGGAGTAATTGATCCTATCCAGGTATTCCTTAAAGAGGTGGGGTTTCAAATGCCTCCGGAAGGTGGTGAGTGACCCGCTGTCATGGCGTCGTGAGGAGATGTTCCACCATTGGCGGTGCCAGAGCAGCGAACAGTTTTGACTGGGCTGTGAGCGGGAAATATGATTCCGCAAGGAGGGGAGCCAGCAGGCCAGGAGGTGGAAGAAACGCAATTGCCCTCGTTTGGGTGTGGGACTGATCAGAGCCCGAAGGTACAGAGGGTGCCGTTCCCCTCACTGACCATAGGGCAAGCACCATGGTCTTGTAGCAGATGCGAGGATTCACTGGAAGCCAGTGGAGTGGCGGAGGGGAGGGGGGGTACTTGAGAAACTTGGGAGGTTGAACACCAGACGGGCTGCGGCATTTGGATGGTGGTAGGGGTTAAGGGCACAGGCAGGGAGACAGCCAACAGAGAGTTGCAGTAGTCCCATGAGGGGAGGATACAAGTGCAGGATGAGGACCTGTGCCGCTTCTGTGTAAGGCAGGGTCGTAATCTCCGATGTTGTAGAGAATGAACCTGCAGGAGGGGTACTGCCTTGATGTGGCGGGAAGACCAGGGTGTTGTACAGGGTCACGCCTAGGCTCTTCGCACTCTGGGCGAGGAGGACACCGCGGAGTGTCAAACGTGATGGCGAGAGCTTGGAACAGGGCAGTCCTTCCACGGGAGGAAGAGCAGCTCCGTCTTGCCAGGGTTCAGCGGGCAGCGGGCCACACCACGACCCACACCAAGACCCACCACGACCACGACCACTACCAGCCACACCACGACCACGACGACACCACGACCACGACACACACCAACGACCCAACGAACCACACCACGACCACACCACGACCACGACCACACCACGACCACACCATCACCAGACCACACCAAGACCCACGGACCACGCCGATCACCCACCACCAACACCACGCCCAACCACGACCACACCACGACCACGACCACGAGCCACACCACGACCACACCACGACCAGACCACGAACACAACCGCGACCACACGACGACCGACGGACAACGGAGCCACACCACGACACACCACGACCACGATCCACGACACAACCACGACCACACCCAGACCACGACAACACCACGACCACACCACGAAACCACCGCGACCACACCACGACCACGACCAGACCCACCAAGACCACGACCACACCACGACCACACCACGACGAAGACCACTACCACACAACGACCAGCACCACGACCAACGACCACACCACGACAACACAGCGCAGCCACACCACGACCACACCACGACAACACCCGACCTACACACCAGACCACGACCACGAACAACCGTCGACCACACCACGACCGACGACCACGACCACAACCACGACCACACCAAGAACCAAGACCACACCACCCACACACCAACGACCACACCACGCCACGTACCACACAGACCACGAAACGACCAACCACGACCACACCAACGACCACAACCACGACCCACGACCACGAACCACACACGCACACACCACGACCACATCCACGACCACGACCACACCACGACACGACCACGACCACACCAAGGGACCCACACCCCTACGACCACACCACGACCACGACCACGACCACACATCCGACCACACCACGTACCAGAGACCACGGACAACGACGACACCCAGCACCACGAGCCCCCCCAGACCACGACCACACCACTACCACACCACGACCACACCATCGACCATCCCACGACCGACGATCCAAAAGACCGGACACCACTGACCACACCACGACCCACGAGGTACGACAACCACACCACGAACACGACCACAACCACGAACACACCACGACCAACGACCAACCACGGACCACACCACGCCCACACCCACGACCACACCACGAACACGAAGACGACCCACACCAAGACCAGCATCCACGACCACACACCGACCACACAACGACCAGACCACACCACGACCAAACCCTAGACCACGACACGACCAAACAAGACCACACACGACCACACCACGAACACGACCACGCCCAACACACTACCAACACTAACACACCCACAACACTACCACGACCACACCAAGACCACACCACGAC